CTCTCTCTCTCTCTCTCTCTCTCTCTCTCTCTCTCCTGATCACACACAATCGTTTTTCTTATTCTTGAAAATACACAAGTTCTTCAACACATACACACATAAAATTTGGAAAATGATTCATATGGGTTCATATTTTTGGGTAGGATCTATTTTTTGTTTTTGGAAATCAATTCACATGTTCACATGGAAATCAATTCACAGGTTTTCACTTTAACACATACTGACACACACAAGAACAATCAAAAAGGGGTGCATCTTCATCTGATCAGGGGAAGAGGAAACGAATCTGCAGCAACAATGATATCAAAGTGGCTGATGAAATCGTGAGGAGGGGCGAACGTCGATCTCCGGCAACGATTCGCGAAGGAAAAGAGGCGGAGGCGACGTCAATCGTCTGTAGTGGTGAGGGAGGCTGCTCCGGCGGCTTCCCTTGGCTGTTTTTCTGATCCGACGAAAATCATGAACAGAAATGGCAGAAGGAGCGGCGATTCTTAGGTGGTGCTTGGGCTGTTCCGATCGACAAGAAGGAGGAGGAGTCGAGTCCTCGTTGCCGACAACAAATAGGGGGAGGAAAGGTTGTAATGACAGACGACTCCAGTGGGGCGTCGGAGGTGCTTGCTCGACGAAAGGAAGAGACGGGGTAGAGGTGGCAGTTGGCGTCTCCGACGAGCCCTTCGTGGCTTGTTCTTCGTCTTTGGCAGCTTTCGGAGCGAAGGAGAAAGTATCCGTGTAGAAGAGGGTGTTGGGGTTATTACTTGACAAGAGAAAGAGGTGGAGGTGGGTTGTGGAGGGCTGCTGCACTTTTCCTGCAGCCGGTTTCCACCTCCGGTGGTGGTTCAACGTGAGAGAGAGAGAGAGGGGGTCCTCTCTTTATTTATTAATTATCAAAATAGATAAATATATATTAAATTAAAAAAATGAAAGAGAAAAATCAAAAATAAATACATGAGGGGCATTAAAGTCATTTCAGTTTACCGAGGGACCAAATCCGCAACAAAAGTAGCTCAAAAGGACCACTAATCCAAAAAAGTCGGGGTTTGGACTAAAACCCCAAAAAAATGCATACCACATGGACCATTTTTGCAATTTTGTCTTTATTTAAACCAGTACACTTTCAATTTATTTAAACCATATATGTTCAGTTTTTATGATCGGTTACTCGTAATAAGTCGAAAAAATGACTAAAAGAGTAATATATTTTTCGATTTGTACACATTTGATTATTGAATTTTTTTCGTCCACATTTACCCCTTCAATTTGTTTAAACAGTACACATTCAGTCTTTATGATCGGCTATTCCTGATAATCTGAAAAAAAAAATGACTTAATAGGATAATATATTTCTTACTTTGTACACATTTAGTCCTTAATATTTTTTTTTTTGCATATTTAGCCCTTAATATATTTTTTGCAAAATTAGTCTTTATTGATTTTTTACACATTCAATACTTATAACCGATTTCTTTAGGTTTTTCCCGGCATCCTACATGGGTCAATCATTAATAATGTGTTCGGGATTGTTGATTCATATGGCCACCGTGGCCTCGACTGCTTCGGTCTTATGGTTTGACTTGTGTATTGTGTTTTGAACGTCGTAATTTTTTCATACGATCTTAGATTTTAACGATATTTATATACACACGTTCATATTTAAGTTACTATAACTTTTGTTTAGATTACTCTTATTAAAAAATAATATATTTTTACTTACAATTTTATAAAAAAAAAGAACATTTATACATACATTCATAAATAACACATGGATATAATGATTGTAAGTAAAAATATATATATATTTTTGGAAGTAATCTAAACAAAAGTTGTAGTAGACTCAAATACAAACGTATGGATATAAATATCGTTAAAATCCGAGTCATATGAAAAAGTTACAACGTTCAGAACACAAGACCTAAGCAACTAAGCAGCCAAAACCGTAGTGGTCATAAGCATCAACAACTCTGAACACCTATTTAATGATGTCGTGAGAAACACCTAAAGAAACTATTCATAAGTACTGAATATATACAAACACAACAAGGACTTGTTTTGCAACAAAAAAATATTAAGGACTAAACGTGCACAAAGTGGAAAAATATGTTATCTTATGAAATCAGTTTTTCGACTTACGTAGAGTAGTCGGTCATAAGGACTGTAGTCTACAGTTTAACAAATTGAAAGGTAAATGTGGACAAAAAAAACTCAAGGACCAAATGTGTACAATTCAAAAAATATATTTCCCTTTAAGTCATTATCCCTAGAATGAAATGTAGAACACTTATAGAAAAACACATGATATGATGAAGAAAGTATTAAGGTAAACTTTGAATATCCAGAACATTTAGGGTAAAACTGGATAAATAAATATCAAAAACAATTTATATAAAGTATAAGATTACAATTAAATTATCTAAAACATTAGAGATAAAAATAAAGAACTAAAATTAAAAATTAAATGATGGAGAAAATGTCATAGTTAACATTAAAATATTTAGAATCTAGCATAATATATAACTAGAAAAGATTCCTCTGACGTTGTGGGGGTTGGAATAAAAAGTAAATAATTAAGATGGATGTTATATAAAATTTATGGATGTTAGAATATATTAGCAATGTACTTTGAAAAAGCAGCCCAAATAAACTGAACTTTAAAAGTACAATCTTATAATAGTAATAAGAAGAAGTGAACATATGATGATATAATCAATAAAATATTACAAGTCATTCATATTGGAAATCCTACTTTTACTATTTTAAACAAAAACAACCAAAAATATGAGGGTTGTAGTAACCATTTACCTTACCACTGTCCCACCACTAGCGTCTATCCGCATCAGCAAGCAGGTTTTCTTATTATTCACAAGATGCTTCAGACTCCTTTAATTTAGCTAAAACAGTACTAACCTATTGAAAATCAAAACAAATAAAAGTTGGTTATCATTTTAAAATAACCTTTTTCTCAAGGAAAAAAAAGAAGTAGCATTTAACATAAAGCATCTACAACCTGTGGAGAGACTCTTTATTCTGTTGTTGCTCGCTATCCACTATCCAAAGGAAACTACAAAGTAAAAATATAAGATTTAGATTTGTTACACCTATTTTAGAATGGGAAATAAAATCAGATTACCATTACATATGCAATTTTGTATGGAGAAAGCAATAAACCTTTGTATGAATTTTTTATATGTGAAATTTTTAGTTTTCAAATTAGAATGGGATGAGGAGCTGAAATCCTTTTATTTTCAATTAGATACCTTACTAAATGCTTGTATAACAACATTTCATATAACAATTGAGATAAAAATGGATCTTAGTGATTTTATCATCTGCCAAAGAAAGGCAATTGTTTTAACAGTTAAAAAATGAAACTTTAATCAATGAAAAGCAATAAATATCCAATAAAAAGGATTAAGATCTCCATATACCTGCATTTTGGGAACTTTTCCATGTAAAGCTCATGTCCATACCACTATCTATGACACACAAAATCAATGTAAACAACCACCTACAACACTTTAACATCAGTTTGGAATTTCAAAATCAAATAACTAGTTTAACTTTTATGAACCAAAATGACAAACCTCTAGCTAAGTTTTTAAAATCTTCCTTACAATGTTTCATTTTGAAACATGTGAATGATTACATATAAGAACAAATATTTACCTTCTTTTAAAGTTGTTACTTTAACTCAGATAATCCAACTTGATGTGATACTAAGCACATAAAAAACAATGAGAAGATTTGGATCAAAAAAGATCGAACATGTTATGTATGTTAATGAACATGATATGACACCACTATGATTTTGATGCGGTCGATTCCAAATTAAAAGTCCTTTGTTCCGATTTGTCTTATAGAAATAGGACATAACATGTTCTAGAGAAAAAGGCAGAGAGGTAATATGCAAAGAATGACAATGCAAACCTCAACTAAGATGTTGAATGTAGAAGTTGGGATGATAAAATAACCAATTAAAACCAATTCTAAAAAATTAAAGAATGACAAGGCAAACCTTAACTGAGATGTTGAATGTAGATAGGCAGAGTCTAAAAGAATGACCAAAAGCAGAATTTAGCTTTGGAAAAGTAATGAAATTAGTGCAAGGAGACAAATACTTTCGACATAATGAATATATCAAAGGACAAAATTGTAACACTCGTTACTAGGTATTTCCATTTCAACCCTTAGTATTTTAATTTATTTGCAATTAATCCCTTTACGTTCGGCGTACAAGGTTTGTACGTTGGGCGTAATTCAAAAATAGAATCGTGACGGAGGAGGAGTACGTTGGGCGTACTCGTGCAGTCCTTCAATACTAAATTTTTAGGGTTGTGTCCCCTATTTAAACATATTAATCCCCTTGGACCTTCTTATCACCAGCCTCCATTTCCTCTAAACCCTAGATCGAAACCCTAGCCTTGAAGAGTAAGATCTGAATCTTTTGGAGTGATTTTGTGTGTTCTTGGTAAATAAGGAAGATCATTTGTCACAACCGGCTATTCTGGATCAACAAAAGTCAAACAAATCAACGAAAGTCAATGGACTAGGACATAAATCAAAATTTATACCTTGCTTTTAATGTTCTCGGTTAGGACCGAAAATTTTGAGATTTCGCTGGTTAGGACCGAAGACCTTGAAGACTTCGGTGGTCAAGACCGAAAACCTTGGGATTTCGGTTTCTCTTGGACCGAAATCACATGTGATTTCGGTGGTGTTCTCAGTTGGGGGCTTGGACCGAAATCATGGAGATTTGGGGGGTTTCTTAATCATGATTGGTGGATCTTTTTCCAACGTGATAAATGACACACTTCAATGCAAACGTCACTTCACCCCACCCCACCCTCACCCCCCCTTCGCGTGTGTGTGTGTGTGTGTATATATA